CTGACCCCAATGCTGTCTTCCTGGCCCCAAAATAGAAATTTGGTCAACCTTAATGACATAGGAGCAATATTTGGAGGTAGGAAGGAAACAATATTATATTGTACATTTTTAATAGTGTCACAGGAAGCAAGGAAATAATTTCCCCTTATCCACAGTAGCAATTTCCCCTTATCTACACAAAACTGTTAGTTTTAAAAGTTGTTGTAAACTCATAAGTAACATGAATAATAAACTAAGTTGGAAGGAAAAGGATTAGTGACCTCCTTATGCCCTAATTTTCATTCATAATTACCCAGATAAAGTACATTCACTGACATATATCACTTATACTCATAAAGAAAAATTTACAAAGGTAGATTTTAAAGATCTCCGAAAATATTACGCCTAATCCCAAAATACTTTTATTTTTTCAGTGTGAGGAGGGAGAGAAAATGCAAAGATTACCCAAGGCAGGGTTGGAGCGAGATAGCACAGCTGGTAGGGCATTTGCCTTGCACACAGCCAACACGGGTTCGATTCCTCCATGCCTCTCTGAGAACCCGGCAAGCTACTGAGAGTATCCCACCCACACGGCAGAGCCTGGCAAGCTCCCCGTGGCATATTCGAGATGCCAAAAACATTAACAACAAGTCTCACAATGGAGATGTTACTGGTGCCCACTCAAGCAAATCAATGAACAACCGGAGGACAGTGCTACAGTGCTAAGGTAATTTACTACTTTATATATAAATAAAGATGGATTCTAGGACCAGAGTTAATACAGTGAGTAAGGTGCTTGCCCTACCTGCATCTGACCTGGCTTCCATCCCAGCACCCCATATGGTCCCCTAAACCTGCCAGGAATAATCTCTGAGTACAGAGGCAAGCATTACATCCTACACACAACAGGTGTGGCCCCAAATTACAATAAATGAATACAGAAATAAAATTACTTCCACTATATATTTAGTTTTCTTTATATCAAGAACAATGAAATAAGGGGATTTTCCACAGACTTTGTTTTGCACATTAAGAAGTTCAAAATCAATATCATGGAGGTTTTTGCCAACTTTGTCTTCAATGTACATTACGGATTCCGGTCTGATGTTGAGGTCTTTAATCCATTTTTATCTTACTTTTGTACATGGTGTTAGGCAGAGATCTGAGCCCACTTTTTTGCAGGGAGCCGTCCAGTTTTGCCAGCACAATTTGTTAAAGAGGCTTTTCTTGATCCCTTAAACTGTACCTCATGGTGTTTTTTTTTATTTTTATTTTTTTATTTTCTTTTGTTTTTTCTCTAATTTTTTCTTTCCCTTTTATCTCATGGTGTTTCACTAACAAAGATTTTTAAAAAATGTAAATGATGGAGAATGGGCACTGGTGGAGGGATGAGTACTGGATCATTGTATAACTGAAACCCAAGCACAAAAATTTGTAAGTCTACAACTGCACCTCATGGTGTTTCACTAATAAAAATTTAAAAAAAAAGAATTTCAAAATCTGGGGGGCATGGTGCCGCCAGCAGGTCAACCTGTACCTGTGAGGCAAGTGCATCAGCAGCCTGATGGAACCGTCAGATTTCCAGATATCCCAAAATTGCTGCTGTGCCTTTGGCCAGACCCCAAAAATTTGGGGCAAAGTTTACCAAGAAAGTAAGGTATGTGGGAGCCACACCAACAAACCACCTCCGGTTCAGCTATATAATTGAAGGCATGGATTCTGGTTCCTGATTGAACTGCTTAACGGCCATGATCCCAGAGACTCAGAAACAAATCTAGAAACCCAGCGGCTTTGGCCAGAAATGGGTCTGGACCACGCAGTAGGTTACTGTTGCCAGGCCATCCAAGAGGGGAAAGGTTACTGTCCCTCTCACCTGCTCCCCCTAGGCAGCTCAGTGGTGCCATATTCCAGAGGTCACTGGACAGTCAGGTTTGGGCCCTCGGTGACGAGATGTGTGGGGCCTCACGGGATGGGAGTGGAGCTGGCCCTTTCCTCCCCGGCCCAAGGAGACCCTGAGTCACCACCCAAACAGCCTCTCTGGCTCCTGATCAAACTACTTAACTACATTTCTGCTTTTAGCAGAAGTGCATGCAGACCGCGCAGTAGGTTACTGTTGTTGGGTTACCAAAGGGGGGAAAGGGTGCTGTCCCTCCTCCTGCTCCCCTTTGGTGGCCTGGTGGCTGCCATCTTCCAGAGGCCATGGACAATTAGATTTGGGCCCACAGTGACAAGACATGCAGGGCCTCACAGGATGGGGGTGGAGTCAACCCTTTCTTCCCCACCCCAACGAGCCTCGAGTCACTGCCCACAAATGGCCTCTCTGGCTCCTGATCTACATAACAGCCACAATCTCAGAGACTCAGAAACAAATCTCGAAACCCAATGGCTTTTGGCAGAAATGCATCCGGCCACTGCAGTAGGTTACTGGTGCTGGGCCAACCCAGGTGGGAATAGGTTTCGTGCCTTTGCCTGTTCTCCCTGGCAGCCTGGTGGCCGTCATCCTCCAGAGGCCACTGGACAGTCAGGTTTGGGCCCACAGTGACAGGACAAGCAAGCCAGATGAGGATGAAGCCAGCCCTTTCCTCCCCGCTTTGATGAGACCCTGAGTCACCATCCACAAATGGCCTCTCTGGCTCCTGATCAAGCTGCTTAATGGCCATGATCCCAGAGACTTAGAAACAAATCTCAAAACCCAGTAGCTTTTGGCAGAAGTGCATGCAGACCGCGCAGTAGGTTACTGTTGTTGGGTTACCAAAGGGGGGAAAGGGTGTTGTCCCTCCACTTGCTCCCCCTTGGCGGCCTAATGGCCACCATCTTTCAGAGGCCATTAGACAATTAGGTTTGGGCCCACAGCAACAAGACACGTGGGGCCTCACGGGATAGGGGTGGAGCGGCCCTTTCCCCACCCCCCTCCCCCCCCCCCCCGTCCCAATGAGACACTGAGTCACCGCCCATAAATGGCCTCTCCTACTCCTGATCAAGCTACTTAACAGCCACGATCCTAGAGATTCAGAAACAAATCTTGAAATCCAATGGCTTTTGGCAGAAATGCGTCCGGTCCCTGCAGTAGGTTACGATGCTGGGACACCCAGTTGGGAATAGGTTTCCTGCCTTGGCCTGTTCCCCCTAGCAGCCCAGGGCCGCCATCCTCCAGAAGCCAGTCAGGTTTGGGCCCTCAGTGACTAGACATGCGGGGCTTCATGGGATGGGGGTGGAGCTGGCCCTTTCCTCCCCACCCCAACAAGACCATGAGTCACCGCTTGGGGAAGGTATGTATGTTTCATTGTATGACCGAGACTTAAACCCAAAAGCTTTGTAACTGCTCTCACGGTGATTCAATAAATAAAATTATAAAAAAAAAAATGGGGAAAATAAAGGTAAGATGGAGTTCATGCACAATTCAATCAGCCTAATCAGTGGCTGAATAAATAGCAGTACTCCTGCATAAAAAAAAGTTCAAAATCTTACCAAAATTTTATCCAACAAGATATTGCTTATAAAATAGTCCTCTTCTGTTACAACTTCAAGAAAGAACAAAACTGCAAATTTCTCTTTTGATCATTTTTAAACTCTTACTATGACCAGAATGATGGGTCAGGAAGTCAGAAGTCCTATCTTGGCAGTAAAATCACTGACAATGATCTTGCAGAAGGTGTGGTCTTCTTTATAGAACTTATCCAGTTCCATGTAGAACTTCTCAATTTCTTCTTCATTGCAGTTGGATGTTGGTGCATAGACAACAAAGATAGAAACTGCGGGCAATGAGCCACATGTATTTAAGTGAAAGTGTCCTATTCGGTATTTTAGGCATTCAAATGAATCAATGCTCATGGCCAAGTTCATGTTGATGAGGACACCAACACCAATGACCTGAGGCCTTTGTTGTCGCATGTTCCACGGAACAGTTCTCCAGTGTCGTAAGTGTCGTGATGTGATTGATGCCTTCTAGTCTCAGTCAGACCAATGATGTTGTACTTGATCTTCTGTGCTTGCACCATCAGATCCTCAACGGATGCTTCCTAAGCCAGAGTGAGTACGTTGAAAGTACATTCATTTTAGTCCTTCATTTTGGCAGCCTAGTTTGGCCCTGAGATTTTATCAGCTTCTCCTTGTTCATTCTTAATGCTGCCTTATTGGGGACTCTTTCAGGATCAGGGGAATGAGGACCATTATTGTTACTGGTTTTGGCATATTTAATACATAATGGATAGCTTGTCAGGCTCTGCTGTGCAGGCGGGATACTCTCGGTAGCTTGCTGGGCTCTCCAAGAGGGACAAAGTATTATACACAAAGATGAATTCCAGGACCAGAGAGTTGGTACAGTGAGTAAGGTGCTTGCCCTACCTGAATCTGACCTGGCTTCCATCCCCAGCACCGCATATGGTCCTCTAAATCTGGCAGGAGTAATCTCTGAGTGCAGAGGCACGCATTAAGTCCTAAGCACAATAAGTGTGGCCCAAAAACTAAATAAAAAAATGAGGAAATAAAATAACATCCTCTATATATTTAGTTTTCTTTCTATCAAGAACAATGAAATAAGGGGATTTCCCACAGACTCTGCTTTTCACCTTAAGAAGTTCAAGATCTCATCAAAATTCTATCCAGCAAGATATCTCTCATAAAGTAGTCCTCTTCTGTTACAGCTTTAAGAAAGAACAAAACTGTAAATTGCTCTTTTGATCATTTTTAAACTCTTAATATAATCAGAATGATGGGTCAATAAGTCAGAGCTAGAAAACATCATAGAAACTCAAGATCTATAGATAGAACACATTTTAAGTTGAGGGCATTAGCAGATTAGTTTAAATGTTCTCACCAATAATATCATTTGTAACATTATATATAAATCTATGGTCCTTGTTTGAAGAAAATATTTAGATCAAAAAAATGAAACTGATTAGATAACCCAAGTACACATAAAAGTTTCTATAATTTTTTCATTGATACAAGAGGTAGTTGTTATATTTGATTCAAGTTTTTCTTGTTTGCTTTTAGTTACTTGTTCAGTTATGAAGGCTTACCATCTTGCTGGCCATGGAGATTCTGTGGACTTTGCATTCTTTCCTCAAGATTGGAGCTCAGATCAGAGTTCACGGCTGACATCCGTGTTGAATCACTCATATCAAATTCATCACTTTCTATTGAACTTTCATCCTGAAATAGTTTTAAAATATCAAGAATTATTTAAAAAATCTATACATAAAATACATTTTAAAATTACCACTTTTCTATGGGGTTAAATTAGAGTTTGGCCAGAAAGTTTGTATAGAACTCAGGCTGTCACTATCCTCCTGTTGTTCATCGATTTGCTCGAGCGGGCCCAGTAACGTCTCCATTGGAGACTTTGTTGTTACTGTGTTTGGCATAGCGAATACATCACGGGTAGCTTGCCAGGCTCTACTGTGCAGGTGAAATGCTTTCAGTAGCTTGCTGGGCTAAATATGTTAAAATTATGTTAAAATGTTGCACATTAATAGATATTTAAAATAACAAATAAAATCTCTCTCTTCAAGGATATATGAGACTCTTGAAGATTCAATGTGTCTATATACAAACAGGTATAAAAGGTAAAATAATATGCTTGGTAAAAGAATGTAAGTGGAGAATTATCAGGTCTAATAAAAGAATGATTCTATTAGTAAATTCATCTTAAAGATTCAATCACAAAACATCATAAAGAGAAATATATGTTATGATTTAAAGTAAATGATAATGAATAAAATAAAATGAAATAAAATTTTAGAATGGAATAAGAAATAATTGAATATTTATATTGGCATACATGAAATATTCTAACAAGAAATAATCTTACATGACTAGTTTAAAAAAATCTACATTTGTTGAAGAACAAGGTAAACTTCCCAAGCCATTCTTCTCCTACAACTGAGTATAAATTGTACTGAAACCAGAAAAGGGAGCTCTGGGATCCAATTAACCAAAATCAGTTCAACAAATGGTTAAACTGACAACAGGTCAGTTTGCCAAATAACTAATTTAAACCTGACAGGTAAAGGTAAAGGCCCTCCCGTTGATCATCGATTTGCTTGAGCGGGCCCAGTAACGTCTCCATTGGAGACTTTGTTGTTACTGGATTTGGCATATCGAATATGTCACGGGGAGCTTGCCAGGCTCTGCCGTGCGGGCGAGATACTCTCGGTAGCTTGCCGGGCTCTCCGAGAGGGGCGGAGAAATCGAACTCGGGTCGGCCATGTTGGCTGCGTGCAAGGCAAATGCCCTACAGCTGTGCTATCGCTCCAACCCTAAACCTGACAAATATTACATAAACCCAATTAAATTTATCTCACTGGAGCAAATTTCCTAGAAAAATTGATTTTCAAACAAATGGTATAATTATGTACTCAGAAAGATCTGAGAAATATTGTACTATGAATTAAAATCACCAAGATTAGTTATAGCTTGAAAATGCTTTGTTTGATAAATTAGCATTAATATAGGATATGTAAAACTAGTACTTCTATCACAAACACTGTTGCTTGTATTTGTTCACTCTACGAGTTAACTGCCAGGATTTATGCAATTTCACAGATTGAGAAATTGAAACACAGATTAGTCAAATGACTTATTCCAGTCATTTTCACTTATATTAAATTAAATTTCAATTATATATTGATATGAATGCATAGGAAATGACCCAGTCTAGAAACAATCACTTCTTTGAATAGAAAGAAGTTAACTTTGCTTCACAATGTTGTTGTGGTAGTTATTGTGATCACAACCAGTGAATACTTCTGATTCTGTACTCATGAATCATTCTTGCATGCTTGGGGGACTATATACAGTGCTGGGAATTCAAACATGGGTTGACCACATGCAAGGCAAGCATATTGTCTATCTCTTGTACTATCTCCCCAGCCCCACAGTTGCTATATGAATATCTCTATTTCAGTCATGAAATTGCTATGGCTAGAATAACAGGAATATTTTAGGTATGTCCCTCCTGCTCCCCGCCTCTTCCCTGTCCTCTGATTTTTCAGAAAGCAGAATTTAAATAGGTAAGAAAAAGTATAAAGTATAGTTCCTCCTATCATTTCTCAGAGCTTAAAAAATTTATTATTTATCTAAAGAAAAAAGTAAACAATAATTTAAAAAGATCTTTCCAACATTATACTCCTAACAGCATTTTTCACAATAGTCAAGAAGCAGAATAAACCTAAATGCTCATTGAAAACTTTCTGGATAAAGAAGCTGTGGCTCTATGTCTATTTACGGGAACACTATCCTTCCTTTATAGAAGATGCAATCATAAGCTTTGGACAAAATCTCATATGCAGTGATTATAATAAATCTTTATAGTAAATGGTATAAGGAAATGAAAGAATTATTTGATGAAAGAATTATTTGATGATTTAACTAATGTATGAAATATAAATAGAGAAAACTGGCTAGGGGGAAAAACCCCTCACCAAAACTTATCAATTAATTAATAATTTATTAATTAATTTATTAATTAATAATTAATTAATTATTAATTAATTATTAATTAATTAACTTATTAATTCCTAACTCAGTGAAAACTATGGTAGCTATCAGAGGGAAAGTAGGAGAGAGTGGAAAAAATGGGTGGGGGGGTCTCAAGGAGGGGCAGGGATTAGTTTTCACTGGAAGTCTGGTAGTAGGTGTAATGAATCCCATTAGCATAAAAGGTAAAAATCTCTACCCCTGAAATTCTGGAGTTTGAAGCCAAATGATAGATGCACTGTAGTACTGTCCTCCTGTTGTTCATCAATTTGCTCAAGTGGACACCACTAATGTCTCACAACAAATTGTGAGATTTGTTGTTACTGTTTTTGGCATATCGAATACATCACAGGTAGCTTGCCAGGCTTTGCCATGCGGGTAAGATACTCTCGGTAGCTTTCTGGGCTCTCTGAGGTGGGGCAGAGGAATCAAACCTGGTTGGCCATGTGCAAGGTAAATGCTCTACCTGCTGTGCTATTGCTCCAGCCCAATCATAGATGACTACAGAAAATATTTTGTTGATAAATTTATAAAATACCTAATAAAATTCACACAGATTAAAGGTAAAGGTAAAGGCCCTCCCATTGTTCGTCGATTTGCTCGAGCGGGCCCAGTAATGTCTCCATTGGAGACTTTGTTGTTACTGTGTTTGGCATATCGAATACATCACGGGGAGCTTGCCAGGCTCTGCCGTGCGGGCAAGATACTCTCGGTAGCTTGCCGGGCTCTCCGAGAGGGAGAGGGGCGAAGGAATCAAACTCGGGTCGGCCATGTTGGCTGCGTGCAAGGCAAACGCCCTACCACTGTGCTATCGCTCCAGCCCTCATACCTCCGCCCCTCTCGGAGAGCTCGGCAAGCTACCGAGAGTATCTCGCCCGCACGGCAGAGCCTGGCAAGCTCCCCATGACGGATTCAATATGCCAAACACAGTAACAACAAAGTCTCCAATGGAGATGTTACTGGGCCTGCTCAAACAGATTAAGCAACTCAATTTATTACAGTCATACACTTATTCACGTATCAGTCCTCCTTAGGTTTTGTTCAAGCTCTTGTTCATCTTCAGTCTCTGGTCATATTAGTATCACTTGAAATATCTTATGTCTTCTGCAATGAACTCCTACTTCACCATATTTCCATGTTCATGTTGTAGACATTCCATTACCAACAAAAATGTTCGGTCCCCGTTAGAATAGAATTCAAGCATATAATTTTAACCTATTTTACTTTTTTGACAAGATACTAAACCTAATCTATTCCATTTCCCTCTTCCTCTGCCTATTTCCCTAAACAGCTCAACATAAGTCTTTAAAATCATTTCACTTTACACACAACCGTCCAACTCAGAAGAGGCGTTTTTCTTGACTCATTCAAATGTCATCATTTAGATGTCTACTTCCTATATTAGATATGCCCAAAACAGTAACAAGAGTCTCACAATGGAGACTTTACTGGTGCCCGCTCGAGCAAATCGATGAACAAGAGAAGGACAGTGCTACTTCCTATATCAACTTTTTTTTCTCAGACATCTAACAATTTTTCAAACAGTCTCACTTTCTGTTCATGTTCTTGTTTTCTTTTTCACTGAAGAATTAGGAGCAAATATAAGGAAACTTCCACAAGTTCCACCAGCATTTTCTTCCACTTATTATATCTGAACCCACTTAACTCAGTCTTTCCCAGTGTGTGCTCTGTTCTTAAGTCATCTACTCCAATTTTGTATAAGAAATCACCCTAGCCACGCCAATGACAGTGCCTCATCAATTCTTTCCTCATTTTTCTGTACTGTTAATGTTCCCTAATGATTCTCATCACAGAAAAAATACACTGTCATGTCTATGATCTAAACAAAATTGTTCTATAATAAACATTCTCATTCTCATTCCTCTCATCGTTAATAGCATCTTTTGCTGTCTTCAACAGAAAAACTTCATAAGAGCAAAGATATTGCTGTCTCCAATTCTTTCTTATACCCAACCCACTCCAGTCAGGCTATTATTTCATCACCACCCCAAAAACTACTCTTGTCATGAATACCATTGAACTTCCACAAGTCTAAATCCAGACCTAATATCCATCTTCTTAATAGTCTTATTGATGATTTGACAGAAAAGATTAAATAGCTTGAGATATTTCTCCATCTGTCTTCTAGATTATATTCTCCTGATTTTTATGCTAACACACTTGCAGCTACTTTTTTCATTCTCTTCTGACCCTTATCTTCCAGATGTCAATAGCACTGACATTTCCTAACACTCTGTAACATTGGACTTTGTTTCTCAATTTACATTCCAAATTTCGTTACCAATAATGCCTAAATGTCTCATGTTCAGATTAGTTCTGTAGCACTGTAGCACTGTCCTCCCATTGTTCATTGATTTGCTCAAGCAGGCACAGTAACGTCTCCATTGTGAAACTTGCTGTTACTGTGTTTAGAATATCAAATACATCATGGGAAGCTTGCCAGGCTTTGCTATACTCTCGGTAGCTTGCCGGTCTCTTCGAGAGGGGCAGAAGAATCAAACTCAGATTGGTCCAGTCTGCTGTGTGCAAGGCAAATGCCCTACCCTCTGTGCTATTGCTTGCCAAGTAACTGATAACTCTACGCATGCTCAGGCTGAGACTCATGCACGAGTGAAGCCCTACAGAACCAGGTAAGTGGAACTCTGAGATCTTGG